CACGGTGGGGCGCGGCCGTGGCCGCACGGGGGGTTGGCCACCGCGCCCCAACCCCCCCTCCCGCGGGCAATGGACGCGCCCGCGCGAGGCGGCGAAACGGAGCGGCCGGGGGAGGGAAGGGACGAACCACTGTGCGGGGAGGGGGGTGTCCGGCCCCTCGAGCCGCGTCGTCTCCTCGGAGCGGGGAGATTTTCTTTGTTTACTGATTTTCCCCCTTTTTCTTCACGGTGTTGGACCTTGTAGCGAGCACGTCCAGGGCGGGACGCTGCGCGTTTAAGTGCTCTTACTAAGATGTCAAGCCTGCGTGAGTCACTGGCGGAGGCATTCGCGTTGGCTGAGCGTTCTGACACACTTGCTCCTTTGTACGGCCCAAACGTGGGTTTGGAAAACATTAACCGGAGGCCTGGACTAGGAGGAGATGTTCTGTGGGGCTAATGAAGGTGCTTCCCCCTGCTAAATGCATCTTTTCCCTCAATGTATTTATCTTTAAAATAGCGATTTTGAGCAAAGAAATAATGCAGGAGTGTTTTTGTCTGTTTGTTTCTTAATCTCATAAGATTGAGCAAAGGTGCCTGTGTGTTACGAAGGGAGGTGGCATTAGATGATGAAGCTGCTTGTTCCAGAACTGCCCCTGTGTGAGGACCTGTGCAGACAGGCAGCAGTCACCGTTTATCAAAACTGAAAAAATCCCTCTGCTGAGTTAGGCTGCACTGGATAGAACAATGTGTTTTGAGTCCTGTTCTGCAATAATCCCTCTCCTACACTGTTTATTCATCACCTGTAGGATTAACTGTTTTAAATGGGTGCCATCCAATGTCTTCCCATATTAGTAAATTTAAGGCTGAAGAGGTAGCAGCAGCTCTGCAATGCATCCCAAAGGCAAAGCTGTGCCTATACATGTGTATACGTTGACACTAGATAACACATACTTGCTGTGTGTTTTAACCACCTGATTTCAAAAACTGAGGCAGTGGTGAAACTGTTACTTGCCTTGAAGCGTTGCATAACAGGGAAGCACAGCACTGAGGCTGCTCTTTTGAGCACCAAATCCACTGTTTGCCACTCTGCGTCGATATAAAACTTGTCTGTGTCGTGCTCCATAGAAAATGATGCTGGTTGGAACTGAAGCAAAAGACAAACCGTGTCCTTCACTTATTTGTAGAAGAGGTGGTGATTTCATTTGTGGCTGGAGTGGCCTTTTTTGCTTTGAAAGTTTAAGCTTAAACTTGTCCTAAAGTCTTGCTTTTCGTCTATAGGAAAACTGGGTAAAGACTTGATGTTATTACTGATGCTTGTTGCCAGAGTTGTAAGATGCTTCACAAGTCCTGCAGTTCTGGAGAGAATTAATAAGCTCTGTCAAAATGTACTTGTCTTAAGTTGGTTACTGGGCTTCACAACTCAGTTTTGTTCACGTGCTTCATTTTAAGCAATAGCCATATCCATTAGAAGTATTTTAAAGGACCTGTTAGTGTGGAATGGATCTATTCAAGGACCAGAATCATTGCTTAGAGGAACTCCTTGGAAAAGAAAATTACTTATTTTCTTTTTATCACTGCAAAAAGAAATAGTACTTTATCAGCTTGGTTTTTCATCCCTGACTGCAATATGCTGAGGAGAACGTGCTGGTAATAAATATCTTTATATTTGTGATGTGCAGCCGTACTGCCAAGCAGGTTTGTAAGCAGAAATTGCTGAAGGGCTCGTGCCTGTGCTGTGTCAGGCCCTGCGTGCCGGACAGCTCAACTGGGATTAGCAGCAGAGAGTGCCCCGTAACAGCCTGCTCTGGTAAACAACTGGTATCACCTGAAATAGGTGCAGTGCAGGGCTTAAGATAAGCCAGAGTTGCAAATAATGTGTATGAGGAAGTAGTTCTGGTGGTACAAGGAAGTTACAAGAACAGGAACTGAGAAACTGCGAGCACCTACCCGAGGGGGAGAAAAAATCATTACTTACTGCATATTGAGACTTAAAAAGTCGGAGATAAATCTTTTGTTCTGTTTTGGGTGGGCGTGCACAAATAAAGAACCCAAACTGCTAGGAGGGAAGGAAGTTTTTCCTTTCATCCTCACCTGTGATTCTCAAAATTCAACTACATTGTGAACATAAGGGTCTATGTAAGAAATTTAACATTAGTATAACTTATCTTTACGGTGTTGTTTCCACAAGTTTATTTCTTTTGGGTAATTGCCTAAGCTCTGCCTGATTTTGTTACTGTAGCCTTTTTACCCTTGAACATCTGGTGAATCTGCCAGGTTTTAGGCTGTGGAATTAGTGCAACATGTTGCTTAAATCTGCTCTATTAAGAATGTTACTATCCTACAGTCCTAAGCATTTACATTCTTGCATATTTGAGCAAGATCCTTTTGCTTACTCAGGCTGGCTAATTATTTTAAACAGGCTGTTTTTATTTTCCCAGCAATTGATGAGTACAAGCCCCTAGATGCCACTACAAACCCATCTCTCATACTAGCTGCTGCTCAGATGCCAGTTTACCAGAAACTTGTGGATGATGCAGTTGAGTATGGAAGAAAACTTGGTGGGTAAGTAATTTTTTTCCCCTTTCTATCTCAGTAGATCTATATGTAAGATGCATTTTTTTAATGTAAATAGCATTCTATTAGGAGTATTTTAGGCTTTTCCCTCACACGTTCACAGCGCTCTCTTGTGCCAGGAAGTCTCAGTCCTAAAGAAAAGTCCTAGTTTCTGAAGTCCATGATGTAAAGAAAAGTCCTAAAGAAAAGACCTTAATTTCTGGAGTGCTTTTAAGAAGTGCATCTCCATTTAGCCATTCTCAAGAAAATAGTCCAGCTTGATGACGTTATAAGAGATAAGGATATGAAGACTACTCTTATTGGTGATATATGGAAGGGAGAGGAGAGAAAAAAAGATACAGAGTAGAAGTGGTTACTTGAGCAGTGAAACAGTGTTAGATGAGTGTGTGTGTGTCTTTTCTTTTCTTTTTTTTTTTTAAATCAGATATCCCAAGCTGTGGTGAGGCCTAGAGACATTACTGTTTTCTTCCTTTGCATCACAGAAGTAGTTATGTTCTTTGCTTATTTTTCTGTCAGGTCACAAGATGAGCAAATTAAAAATGCTTCTGACAAACTTTTTGTGTTATTTGGAGCTGAAATATTGAAGAGAATACCTGGCCGTGTGTCAACAGAAGTAGATGCAAGGTTAGTTTTTTATTTTCCTCTGGGTTATCCTGTCTATTTATACATCCAAAAAAGGCATGATGTGAGTTGGAGAAATATTCTTGAATAGACAACTCATTGCCATAGGACAAGAAAAAAACATGTATTGTCACTGTTTAACTGGAGACCTGGTTTGACCTATTTTGCTTGACCAGGACTTATTCTCATCACATTTTGTCACCAAGTTATAACAAAGTAATAGAGTTTGAATTTTGGTCCTCCTCAATCCTTGCCTTTACGTAAGCAAAGGAAATGTTTTGCTTCTAGCGTATTTAAAACTTTGCTCATTCTCTTCTTTGTGCTAGTGTCTTAGCCTCAGAAGATACCAACAAGATCTTTTATTCAGCATTTATTTTGCTTAATTAAGTGTGATTTAGCAAAATAAAACTTAAGACTTGCCTAGGATCTGTCTTTGCTAATTAATTTCTAATGTTCAGGTTCTACATTCTTATTAAAAAGAAAAAATAACTTTGAGAAAGTTAATAGACTAAAATTTATGTTATCTTGAGCTTTGGATTCTCTTAGTCAAAGTAGAAGCGCTCTCCTACAACTGCTTGATGAGCTTACAAGGCAGTGAGTACCTTCAACCAAGAAAAGCTTATTGGAACAGAAATCCTATTGAAATAATAGATAAATGTCCTGAATTTTTGTGATGAGGGGAGAAAAAAAAAAGCTCTTGATGTTATGCACTCCTGCTCTCCTTTCAAAGGTTGTCCTTTGATAAGGAAGGAATGATTCAGAGGGCCCGGCGCCTCATTGACCTCTATAAGGAAGCAGGAATTGGTAAAGATCGTATTCTCATAAAGCTCTCGTCAACGTGGGAAGGGATCCAGGCTGGCAAGTGAGTATTTTGGTACCTGACGCACTGATTCACAGCATGTTTTGGCAGTTCACAGGCGTTTGACATGTGTTCTACACTTAAACAACTGTTTTTTTTGCAAACATTGCTCCAGGCGATCTGCTAGGAGGACTACAGCTATCAAGTGAGGTGCTTTTAGTTGAATTGAGAAAAGCTTGTTCCTGTGAGGGTCAGGCTGTTCCTAAAATGGATTCCTTGAGATAGGGTGTTAAGTGGTCTGCATTTTGACCCTAGGTTTCAAACTACTGTGCATATAGGCAAACAAGTGGAAAGCTTATACACCGTAGCACTCTTCTAAATGTTTCAAGTAGCTTAACCTACTGCTTTCTTCTGAGAATGCAAAGTCAGTATGTGAGGGGGGGGGAAAAAAAATCACCATTTTAAGACAATCTTTTTCCACAGGGTTCTGGAAGAGGAGCATGGGATTCACTGCAATATGACCTTGCTGTTCTCCTTTGCTCAGGCAGTTGCCTGTGCTGAGGCTGGTGTTACTCTGATTTCGCCATTTGTAGGACGTATCCTGGACTGGTATGTTGCAAATGGGGATAAGAAAGCCTACGAGCCCTCAGAGGATCCAGGTAAAGTTGCCTTTAACACATTGCTAAAAGCACATGAGCTACTCATTCCAGCTGCAAGTTACTTTGAGAAATTCTCTTATGAAACACGTGTCAGTGTTTGTGTTATGAGTAGTCTTTGAACTCCCAGGGAGCTACTCTGAAAACCACCACTTTCTCCTCTTTAGGTGTCAAGAGTGTCACTAAGATTTATAATTACTACAAAAAGTTTGGCTACAAAACTATTGTGATGGGCGCTTCGTTCCGAAATACAGGAGAAATAAAAGCACTTGCAGGGTGTGACTATCTCACTATTTCACCTAAGCTCTTGGCAGAGCTCAGCAAAGAGTATGTCAAGTTAACTCCCACGCTCAGTATTAAAGATGGTAAGTTCCTTTTTTTATATAATACAGACTTGTTTAGTTTTCCTCTGATTCTGACCACTAACAATGTGTAGTCCCATCTATGTCTGTGCCATTTGCTTCCATCCTGTTTTAAGATAAAGCTTGGACCCCTCTCTAAAGGGTCTTAGTTTCATCATTGTCTTACAGTAGTGGCTTCTAATGAGCACACTCCAGAACTGAGACTTTTGAGTGTGTTTAAGTAACACCTTCCCCCTCGGGGGAGTCCTCACCGCAGAGAATGGGGAGAGCAGAAGAAGCAATTTTATACTCCATATCCTTGGAACTTACTTGAATCACTGCTAACAGTGCATTAGTGAATATTGTTAGCTGTGGATGTGTAGTGAGAGATCAGTGCCTCAAAACTGTAGAAATGAATCATATGCAAGACTAAGTGATTTGTTTTAGTGATACTTTGCTGTGATGGTTTAGAATGTATATTCCTACTAGACCATTTTTGCCTTTCCTTAGTCCTGCTAGAGTTTTACAGCAGAACTTAGGAGCTCAGCTTCCTGCCCAGCTGTAGCTATGGGTTGCAGCATATAGTGTGCTAGATAGCTGGTAGGCATGTTATCAATTAGGCTTTTGTTAGCACTTGCCAAATAATCAAAGACCTGATTGTTCAGCATGTTTGCTTAGATTGTCTCATTGCCTTCTTGGCAGTGAGCCTGACACTATTGTACCATTGAGAAGCAGATACAGTGTATTGCATGCATGTGAAAACTGTCTTCTAAGAGAAGCTGAGTATCTAGTTTTCTTAGCGTGTTGAAATAATAATACAGAGCAGGAGCATCTTCAGTTTTGTATCAAAAAATGTACTGATACAGCAAGTCATGTTGAAAGTGGTTTTCAAAACTTTTCTGTTAGAAATAGTCAAGACTTGACGTTTTTAGGAAATTCATGGTATTTAATACCAAGCCAATAATGATTTTTCATCCTTCTCCTTATATAGCTCAGGCATGTGATCTTGAGAAGATCCACCTGGATGAGAAAACATTCCGCTGGCTCCACAATGAAGACCAAATGGCTGTGGAGAAGCTGTCAGATGGGATCAGAAAATTTGCTGCTGATGCAGTTAAACTAGAGCAAATGTTAAAGGTAGATGTTCTACTGTGCTGCATCTGTTTGGCTCTCGGGTTCTTCCACATAAGTAGCTGTGTGTTGGCTGAAATAAGACTAGAAACCTGAAAGTGGGGTAGTAATGAGCAGCAAAAGTGACCCCTTAGCTGGAATGATGATGGTGTCTGCATTTAAAGTAAACTTTGCCTTACTGCAGGTCAACAAGGAATCTGTGCCAGGCATACACAGACACCTGTAGGAAGCCCAAGGCAGTATTTAAAATGGCAGCTAATTGAAATAACACTTCTGCAAATGAAAAGCCCTTTAGGTCTGATTCTAAACATGTTTGCTTCTCAGCGGTGATCCAGGACAAAGCTAATACTCTTTAGATGGTGAGCTGGAAATATACCACTCCCCTCATTAGAGGGCACGAAGGACAGAGTTGAGTATAAAGAGGCCTTGGGAAAGTTTTCTGATAATGTAGGAGAGGTTTTAAAATACAATTGAGTTGTGTGCCAAAGGAGAAGAAAAAATACATATTAAGAACACCTGACAACCAGACCTGACTGGCAGCTGCTCATATTGACTAAAACTATGTTAAAGCAGAGTGCGCTTCCCAAACACTTGCTAAACTGCAGTTTGTTCACTTGTTTTTTCTAGGATCGAATGTTCAGTGCTGAAAATGGAAAATAGGCAAATCATCATTTTCCTGGCTGGTCAAGACTCAATGAGTGGATCATTTGAAATTAAGTGGATGTAAAAATGTCTTACCTGTAAAAGTCTTATGCTATATATTGAATAGATTTCTGTATTATGCTTTTTTAATCAGTTTGCAAAGGGACAAAAATTCAATTTTTGTGGTACTCTTGTCAATATACTCAAATTAACACATTCTTTTCTTGTAATGTGGTCATTTCACTGCATTTAATGCCAGTGAAGATTAGGTGCATTTCAAAATTAGGAAACAGCCTCTAGAGCAGTTGATAAATAACAGAGTTGTTTCGTCTGAGGTGATAGAATGAGCATGTGAATATGATTCAGGATAGTCAGCTACAGCTTTGGCTATTTTCTTGGAACAAGTTACCATGTTGCTTTAAGGCATAGTCATAAATGCTGCCAGCCCTGCCATACCAATAAAGTTCCCTTTTTAAACCTTGTATAACCCCCTGCCCTTTCTCTTTGTGTTTAAGCTTCCTGTTTGCAAAAGAATAAGCTGTGGTGCAGTCCCTCTCTGAGCAATGACCTAATCATGGTGTCAATTCCATGAATTTCTATTAAGTAGGGAAGCATCCACTTACGTTTCATGCTGTGTTTGGTCAACACTAATGAAATCTTACTGGTTTATGTAGGTCCAGTTCCACCAAGAGTAGATAATTGTTCCATATAAACAGAACCTCTTATCTATTTCCTGATGAAGTTGTCTGAATTTGGCCTCCTAAATGTTTAGGTTTTAGGCTATGTATTTATTGCTCTCACTCAAGCTTGGATAATACAAGAAAAACAAGCCAGGGAAACAGATCAGTAGTGTTAGCATTACTTGAAATGTAAAACCTTGAAATTAGTTACTTTCTAGTACAGTTAGGTGAAATTCTCCTGGGATATATGCTAAAGTCAAGGAGCAAAAATGCAGGACTGCTAGAATATTATTGTATCTTCATTTCCCACAGGCCTGATAGTGCAACACAGTAGGTAGATTTTTAAGGCATCTCCTTTCTAGTGAATTCCTCTACAGGTGAATGACATGGAAAAGAAAGCTGCAGAAAGCAGGCCCTTAAGAGAAGGGAGGGAAGGGGAGGTCTCCTTCTCTAAAAGGTCAAGCTGGCATTAAAACCTGTATCCTGTCCCTAGCTCCCTTCAATACGTAATACAAGGATCTCACCTACCAGTGCAAGTCATGAATGTCACGAGCCAGTGTGATGGTTTAGGCCCCCATGATAATAAAAAACCATTAGAGTATTTTGTGTTGTGCTGAAGAGGAAGCTGGACCTAAAATACAGTGGAGTTGCACAAGCTAGTAGGGCTCTCTGCTTCAGCTTTAGCTTTCTCGGTCTTTTTTCCTAATTTCAGCTCCAGAGCATGAGATGAGAAGAGTTCTAGCTTCATAGCAGATCACAAATAGGCAAGTTTGGTTCCAGCTGTTAACTCCTATAAAAAGTCACCATTTCCTCAGGCAAGAGAATGAAGCTTCCATCCAGTCAAGACTTTAACTTCCCTGGGTACCTCAAAGCTGCAAATCACTGCACTGGAGCCACATCAAGCCAGAACACCCGAAGACAACTTCTGAAAGGTAACCTGTGCCATAAGCAGTCACTTAAATGTGCTTTCTAATAACTGCTATTACAATAATCCTTCTTAACTGATAGACCAGATTATTAGGTAGGATGAGGTTCCTCAGCCACACAAAGCTGTTTCCCACACAGCCAGCCTACCTCATCTAGCAAATAATGAACAATGCTGCCTTCAGTGTGCTAGAAGATGGCTCTCAGCTACTGATAGATGAAAACCTCAAATATTTCCATATTCTGAAGAGGAAGATCTGGGTCTGTAGACCTATCTGTACAAGTAGAAAAATATGATGAGACTGCAGTTGCCATTTATCTCCCCCTGGAAAAAAAAAATGGGAATCATTCCTCAGTCACTGACAGGAGATCAACCTCTCCCAGATAATTGGTATTACTTCACTTAGGTAGCTGGATGATGTATGTCTTCACATAAGAATGCAAGACAAGCTGTAAGACAAGCACCTAATGCCAATTTATTTGCAAAGAAATTGGGAGGTATTTTAGGCTGCTTATCACCTTCATACAGGTAGAAGGGTTCAGATGTGATTGTACTGCAGAGTACTGAGTGGGGCAGAGTTCCCCCAAGTAGCATTGGCCCTGGCTGCTCAATCCTGGTACTAGCTTGATTCCAGAAGCAACACAGAAGAAGCATCTGTCCATACTTAAAGCCCACTGCTGTCAACAGTTAATTTTTTCAGATTCATTTGCCTCAGTTGTTCACCTGCAACATTTATTTGGCACTAAATTAAAAATCCAAGATAATGTGGAGCTGTATGACAACCTTGGGGTACTGACATGCCTTTTCTGCAGGGAAAACAGGTGGAGAGCTACAGGCCAGTTTCTGCAAGCAGCTCAGCTGTGTGCTAAGGGGTAGATCACTTCTCAGCAGCTAGCCTAGACCTCAGCTGCTCTTGACAGAGGGTCAACAACCATCTTCCTTCACTACCAAACCAGCTCACCTGTGCCAGGACTGATTCATGGGAGCATCACTTGCTAGTTGTAGCCCAGGTAGATGGTGATTATGGAGAGAGGAATCCTGCTGCCCACAGTCTGCAGCTCCAGCCCCTTCTGCTTTGTTTTCAGAGTTCTATTTCACAGGACTTCTGCAATAGATCTTCTCAGGAAGCTCTTCTGGGCTGTGCATCAGGGCTCCACTGAAACCAGTGGAGTGGTATCAAACTCCCTTGAAATCCAGTCTGCTCTTTACCACACTGTGCATAGCTCTTTGCATCTAAAGGCATTTGTTGTCACTGAAAAATGGGTGGGGAAGCCAGAAGTCTGAGGGTGCCAGAGCACTGGAACAGGCTGCCCAGAGAGGCTGTGGAGTCTCCTTCTCTGGAGATCTTCAAAACCCGCTTGGACGCAGTCCCGTGCCACGTGCTCTAGGTGACCCTGCGTGTGCAGGAGGTTGGACTAGATGATCTCTAGAGGTCCCTTCTGACCTTAAGCATTCTGTGATTCTAAATCTATGAAGAGGCTGTCCTTGAACAGAGGAACTGGGCTACCCCCCAAGGGTTTTTAAGTGTTTTGTTGTGGTGGTGCTGCCTGCCTTGTAGTCCCCTCTTGCATCCTGGAAATGCCTGAGGGCGACTGCTGCCTGAGCCCCCTTCATCACTGTGGATGTGTCACCTGCCCTTGGGTAATGACCACAGGCAGGTCTGTGTCTCTGCTGTCCGGGTGAGCTCTCACTTACAATTTAACATCATCACAGTCCGGTCGAGCTGCCAGCCTCCTTTCCCTGCTTCCCACAGTTGTGCTAGTTGCTCCAGTTGGAGCCCAAAGACTCACACAAAGACTGGCTCCAAGCTCTTAAGTAGCCTGCAGGGGAGAGAGCAGCAGTTCTGATCCATGGGTGGGAGCCATCCCCATGCGAGCACCTGCCAGAGCCTCCCATCCTGTCCTGCACTTCACTCAGGGAGTCATTCCCATGAGAAAGCTGTGCCCTTGATCTCTATGACAACCAAACAGCTCAGTGCAACGAAATGCCTGGAAAGTGCCTGGTCTTTCCTCTGTGGATAATCCTGCTACCCTTGGGAAGTGCATTTTCTAGGAACCTCTCATACCTGGGATCCTCCCTTAGCTTGGAGTCCTCCTCCCATGGGCATGCCTTGTGGGTAGGTCTCATTTAACCTATTTGGCAGCTTTCCCTCATAGTACAAGATAGCAAAGTCTACAGCATCTCAATTGGATTTCTATGTGACCAATTGAGATGCTGTAGACTTTGCTATGTGCCCTACTGCTTAAGCAAAGTTCCTCTATACTTTGTTGGTCCCTGCTGACAGATGTAGAAATGCTGCTGTATGTTTATGACACGTTCTTTCTTGCCTATCATATCTTAGATTTTGGTTTATGATTCCCAGGACAGAAAAAGGAAGACCTCTGTCAGTGATGGTGAGGAGCTACCATGGGATCCAAATGCTATGGAGTCTTGGAAGAGGGTTCCCACCAACTTAGAACCCCCTCTACACCCCCTATTAACATATACCTTGTTAGGGGGTAGATTTAGCAACAAACATGCTGGACTGATCTTTTCTATGTGAGGTCCATGAGACACAAATTGCTGCCCTTTCTCTCCTCCAAAGCCTCTTTGCTCTGCAGCTTCCTCAATTAGAAAGAAGAATAACTTGTTCTAAAGACACCCACACCTTGTTCCCACTCATCCTTGGAATTCTGATAGATCCAAATGAGCTACTTGGAGAATGAGGAGCCTGGTGAAGCTTTCTGCCCTGGAATTGCATCCAGCACCCTGCTAGGCTGCTGATGTCACACCACAAGCCCATAAAACATACTGGATAACCAAACAGTAACATAACAGGGATTTCAGCATGGAAAGCCATCCTCTATCCACAGTCCATTTACTAGGCAAGAAAAGAACTCAGCTGCATTGCCCATAGCAGAGTTTCCCCAGTTGAGTAGGGATACACAGGAGGGGGAAGCTCTAGGCCTAGAGCAAAGCTGAGGGTCTCCCCTGCTGTTGGGGAATGTGGTGTTAATTCTTCATATGCCACTGTCAGGTGCTTTTGTGTTACTGAGGGATTGCTTCTCCCTGTTCCAGTGCTGAAGAAGATGGGTTTTCTAAGACTCTGAACTGCACTTTCAGGCTCCCAGTGGCAGAACTGAAAAACAGCTCTGCAGCTCCATACCAGCAGGAAGGAGAGGCCAATCTCTTCTCTACCTCCTCCAAAACCTTCTACCTGAGGTAAGGAAAGCTCTATGGCTTTTAGCACTATTGCTCAATATTTGAGGAAAAAAAGTTTTTTTTTTTGTTTTTTTTTTTTGTTTTTTTTTGCCTTTGACGCTTCTGAGGTAGCCCTGAAGCAGCTTACAGGAGCAGAAAACGAGTGCAGAGAGTGTCCTGAAGCTTCATGTGATCCCAGGTGCTCACAGAGCCCAGGACTCTCAGCAAACATAACAGGACCAGGCCCTATCCCAGGGTCATGCTGAGCTGCTTGATCATTCATGTGCCCCAGTTGTCATGTCCAAACCGTGGTACTCCCTGAGCTGAGCCTGTAGCATCCCTTCAAACATACAGGACCGAGGTGTGAGGTACTGTCACAGCGCAGCAAATTCCTGTGGCCTTGTAAGAGGTAAAACATGTTCTTTCTCCATG